CCCCAAAACCCCAAAACCCCAAAACCCCAACTTAATCGAAATCCCCCAAAATATATTAAAAAGCCATCAAGTGTCAAATGTGGAGAAGTAACCCATTTTAACAAAATGAGATAAAAGAGAATTAGCCAAATTTAATATCTAAGCAATTATTTTAACTCTTCCAAGTTGGTTTTCTTCAAAAGTTTCTTCAGCTTCATCCTTGTTTATTAGGCAGTCACAGATTACTACCTCTTCGAGACTCAACCTTAAATCTGGAGAACTTACTAATCCTTGGACTAAGTTCTTGAACTCGTCGAAGTTGTTCTCCAAGTCACTACTATAAGAGCATCCCGATCCACTTAAATCTAGTTTCTGGATTTGACAGTTTGAAAGAACTTCTGAAAAATCAGGGGCACTTGGAATTGATAACGTGCAAGCCCACAATCCCAACACTCTGACATGTTTATAGGCTGCCACCAGCCTCTTCAGGGAGGGGAGGCCGATGCAGAAATGATAAAATGAAACTACTTGGAGGACTTTAGAACTGATCCTGAGCAGGGAGTTTAAGTAATTGGACCTCTTCAGTTTCATTTTACTAGAGGAGTGAAAATAGAACCTATTAGTTTTATCTGGGAACGAGGATTCTAAGAAATTTACAAAATGCCTTTTTTTAGAATCTACATCGTCAAAACTAACAGAGACTGTATCAAAGAATTTGAGGTATTTGAAATTTTGTGCAAGCTTCATATATCTACTGGTGTTGGGATTAATGTAAAGTTCTCTATTTTCTGGAACTTCTCCAGAGTCTGAATCCAACGGCTGAATTTCTCTTTGCTCTGGAAAAATCTTATAGAGGATGCTCTGGCATCTGGCGATATCTTGTTTCTTGGTTTTGGCCAGAACAGACTTCTCTAGACTGCACAATTAGAGAATGACAAGGAGAGGGATCCATGTCAGAATCAGTCAGAAAGTTTAAGTTGGATTCATGAAAGAGTGTTAATTGTAGGTTTCAGAAGTCTGAAGTTTAAGTATTCAGAAGTAAACGCAATTTATCGAGATAAAAATCAAGTTTGAGAGAGATAAGACTGTCAAACAATCTTCAATTGAAGATTTAGCCTTGTTAAAGAAATTTTCGAGAAATTTGTTTTAAAAGTTGATGAATTTTAGTTATATATTAAAAAAAATAGAGCCTGTAGCAAATTAGGAGCTAAAAATTTAGAAAACTCTAAACTTTAGCTCACAATTACCTGATTATCCCGGCGTTTTCTTCTTCAATAACTTTGTTATTGCTTTCCATTTTATTATTATATAAGTGTTAATTTTATTTTCAATGTATCTGCAGAGAGTTGGGGTTTTGGGGTTTTGGGGTTTTGGGG